TATTATTATTATTATTATGATTATTATTATGATTATTATTATGATTATTATTATTAGTAGTAGTAGTAGTAGTAGTAGTAGTAGTAGTATTATTATTAGTATTATTATTAGTATTATTATTATTAATTTGATTAACTGATTAATTCATATTCTTTAAAGTGTCATAAGGTGATGTCTTCAAATTGTTTCTTTGTCTGCAAAACATGATGAGTTAGTTCAACTAAAACTGTTTGAGGAAACTTAAAATCAAACAATTTAAGCATGAAAGATATTTGGTTTGATCTGTCTTTATTGTTAAGGTAACTTGGCTAAATTAAGTTAATTGTACCAATTCCATTCAGTTAATTGAAGTTTGCTCCAAACTTGCTAAACTTCCCTAAACTAAAATGAAAAATAAGATGAAATTTGTAACAGAATGCATTTGTAGGTTAATTAGCTCAGTGTTTATAGTTTAACCAATTTGGAATAAAGAAAATATAGATGAATGTTTGAACTAAACATCTATTCAATCTGCCTCTTGTTTTAACTTTGTCCTATTGTACACTACCATAGTTGTGTTTACTGTCTTAACTGATATTTACCTCCAAGTGGATCAATAATCCACTATGATAATGTGAAACTGGTCATTTGTTTTCAGTTTATAAACTGGGATAGTGGCTCTAGAAAATCTCTTAACACTCAACAACAAAGCAGTAACCAGTTTACCATTCATCCCCTAGGCTGGCTCAGGTGTTGACAGGGAACCATATAAATAAAATGGCCACATTTCCTTCATTAAAGTAATACTGAAGTACCCTCTACCCCAAATCAGAGCCACAACACAAGAAGGCGGACAAAGTACAAATGTAGACATATAACCAAATCAAGTTAAAAGTGCTAGAAACATTGTTAAATTTGGCTGAAATATAAAAAGCCAGATGTTGAGCTGAAAGAGCCGACTCTTATTGGTGAGCTGAACCAAATGATCTGGCTCACTAAAAAGAGCCCATCACACAATTCCTATCAGTATCAGCCAGCTTGAGTCGAGCTGAGACGGGTTAGACAGCAAACACATTGCTGCAACTTTTCCCTGCAGCACTCTGAAATGGTTTTATCTCATTGTGAATCTTTGGTCTGAACTGGGCTTTAGACTTTAGAGCAAAATGTCATCCTAACCAGTACAAGAGTAGGACTTACAAGTTATACAAAAACATGAAGAAAAAGAATTCTCTGTTTTTTGCCATTTATTCCTCTTGACATTTTGGAGATATGATCATTTTTAATATCTCCAGAACAGCAACAGCTACACGGAGACACATGCAGGTCAGCGGTAACTTCAGCAGACAGCCGAAATAGTCGGTCTGTGGCTGTAAAGCAGCAAACAGTGATGTAACATTCTCAAGAGGAGTTGTGCTGATGTTCCCTCAGGTTGCAGTGGAGGTGTTGCTGTAGTCAGAGTGTGTGTGTGTGTTGGAGCCAGGCAGGGAGGAACCCCCCGCGGGTCCCAAAGCCACCTGCTGTCACAGAGGAGCCTGGCAGGCCAATGGGAGCTCACAGCGTGCGTCTACAGGCGCAGCGGCGGCTCAGAAAGGTCTAATCCAGGCTGACCTTTCTGGCGTGGCGTGCATGCTGCCTCCGCCATGGCCGGGCCGAGCTGACAGAGCCGGGAGGAAGCTGTGCACTGTGCAGTTGGGGGTGGGATATTAACACTCTGCACGTTAATGCGGAGGGAAGGAGGAAGTGGAAAGGTGGAGATGAATGAGGAAAGGGAAGATTGGTGGGTGGAAGGATGAATAGGCAGGAAGACGGAGGG